AGGAAATGTTTCAGACACACTTTTCTCTTAAAGTTGTTCCAGTGTTTCGGCAAAATTCTGCTTTTCTTCCTGTAACTGACAGGACACATAATCATCTTTGTAAGGCTTCTCCAGTGGAAACTTATATTATGTACATAATAAATGAGTGACTATTTGTAGTGCTCCATATTACAGCTTTATTGTACAGTATAATTCAACTGAAAATGTACTGTGAAACTAAACAGATTATTAATCTCACAGTGTGTCACTTAGTGGTTAAATAACAAAAATATGTAGATTAGCAAAGAAAATTAGGAATCAACACATGCAACACTGGCAAACTTCTGGCTTCAACGTTAGCATTAGCATTATAAGGAACCCAGACAAAGGCCTTTTAAATACTGCACTTTGTGTCATGGATATATCTTCAGGAATGTCAGCATACCATGTTAAAGTTGGCTCAGGGGCTTGCATGCCATGTTGCTAACATTAGGGATGCAACGATACCAATTTTTTCAAACCAATACGATACCGATACTTGGATCTGAGTACTTGTCAATACAGAGTACAAAAACCGATACTTCTACCACACACACACACACACACACACACGCACGCACGCACACGCACAAATGCAATGAATTGGAAGACAGGTTTTATTTTATTCTCTGCCGATAAATAATATATTAATAAAAATGACCACAAAAAAATTTCAAGTGAAAAATAAGCACTTCTGTTAAATTATTGCAGAGTCTCCAAATTGAAATTTAACAAAATATCACTGAACTATTGGCACTGTCTCGAGCTTTCGGAATAATAAATAAACACTTCTGTTTGGAATAAAATAAATACAAATTAGGTTTGAGAATAAAATAAACTTTAAAATTGTTGCAGAGTGTCCATATTGTAAACAAACAAACAAAATAACGAAAGTATTTGGCATTGACGAACTCCACATCTACCCGTGGATCATCAGTCCACTCTGCCGTTAAACCGAGGACTGACATCGCGCACACACTGCTTGTCTTTACCTCTTTAGAAAGTTTTGGCACCATTATCTCCCTGATGTGTGGGCGGCTGAGAATTTCATATCGCAGCTCGAGTATGCTGAGAAGAATCCTATGTTTTCCACGACTGGCATTGGCTGGTCATCCAGAGCGATAAAATGAGTCAGAGCCTCTGTTATTTTAATTGCCCGTGGATTTTCTCTTGACATTTTTCATCGCTTTTCCAAAACCTGAGTTAAAGTTGGCTGTTCCCGGTCCACACTGCTGACATTTTGTTTAGCCTAGCTACAGCAGCCTCCAGTTTCTCTTTTTTTATCTGGAGCTGCCAGTCTGACTCGTCTAACCCTGTGCCTGTTTAAAGCAGGATGTCCCCCTAGTGGCCAATCTAAAAAACTACAACAAAAATGACAAGCCACCCTCTGATTAACGAAATAAGTTAGTATCGGTTCATGGTATAGGTTAACTTTTACGAGTATGAGTACACACACATTTTACAGTATCGGCCCCGATACCCGATACCCGATACCAGTATCAGTATCGGTGCATCCCTAGCTAAGATGATTTTTGATTATCTGAATAAGCATCAAGTTGTAAGAAAACTAGCTACTTTATGCAACTATTTTTTGTTTAAATGATATACATTTACTTTGCCTGGTAGCATGCTAAGCACTGCCACTAAAAGGTAGTGGTAAAGCATATAGAGGCTTTATTTACCGACCACTATTAAACAACAGAACAGAAGAAGAATACACGATTAACTGCGAAGCGACAGATTGATGAAACATCTGTGAGACTATACAGACAGCTACTTTCAACTTTAGGAAAGAAAAGGAAGGAAAATTATTTCAAGGCCAAACTGTGTCAGGTACAGCTAGCAGAAGACAAGAGTACCACAACTATACATAGTCATTTAAGGGGGATTTAAGGGTAGGAGGTGATCTTGGAAGTATAACAGTGTAAAATGGAATCATGCATTTCCTTGAAATGCCTATCTCCAGTGTAGTTACATTTTGGTATGTGTGTTAAAAGATCAGCATGAAATCAGATACACCAGAGGCTGATCAGCCAGTCATCCATCATGGCCAATCAGCTGAAAACAGCCGACTGGCCCATCGATCTGTGCATCTCTACTTCAGACAAACTTGGAGCGTGGCCGAGCACAGCTCGGCATGTCTCTGCATTTGTGACACTAAGTGGAGAAAACGCTTATAAAATATTAAGTTACATTTCTCCCTATAACTGTCTGATATTGTCAAACAGGGATAGGGGGGAAATCTCTCTGTTTTAATTACTCTGAATTATGTAAGAGCTAATGATAAAAATAACCTGAGATAAATCAACTGCCTGCAAGGCCCACCTACAGCATGACGCCTCACAGAGAAAGCACTTACTTTATTGGCTGTCGCACAAAAAGCGTTGGCTCATCCATGTAAAATCAATCTGGACTGAAACAGAAAATAATACTCACAAGGAGATAAACAAAATTAAGTCGAGCCTGAGCCATTGTTAATGGCGCTGTCCAATTTGCAGAGAGAATTACTTCAGGGGAGACAATCGAATGGACGAAAGCTGAAGAGCTTTCAGAAATCTTTCTGCAGTAGCCATGTATAGTGCTGAAGTGAGGTGTTACACGTTCCTATTAATTACTCTTATCACCGAGTGACAGGCCGTCCTTCCTGTGAAAATGTCATCCAAAGCAAGAGGAAACAGGAGAAACAAGTGGGGGAATGACAGCATTACAGCCACTTTGTCTGTGAAGACAAATCCAGGAAGGTCGGCAGCAAAGGCTCCATCCAAAAGGGTGAGGTTTTCTAAAAGACCGCAGTCTGACCAGTAATCACAGGGCAGGCTCAGGATGACCTCCAACCTCAAACCACACCTGTTAATTAGAGGAAATACTCATCTGTGTCTACTCTCTAGAACACTTGGTGTAGGAGTAAACACAGTCCTAACAGCTGAGCGAGTGGCTCCAGTGAAAGCAGCACAGTCTCCAAACAGAAACTGTTTAGAAAGATTGAAAGACTGCAGCCAAATTCTACCAGCCTGGAGTGGGACTGCACAGCATGTGCTTTACTGTGACTTTGCTTTTCTTTGAATACCCCTTAGGATCAAATTAAACACTTTCTTTTGGGGGTTTTTCTTTAAGCCTCATTCATTGCTCTTTTCTCCCATTCCGGGTATTCCCACTTGAAGCAACTTGTCAGTTTAAAGCCCACCTGATGCTTAAATCAAACTTGTTGTTGTTGTTGTGCAGAGCAGAGTGCAACTTTCGGCAGCCTCGACGCCTCTCTCGTCTCATTTGTGACAAAGACGACAGCTAAATTAGGGACCAGAAAATGTCTCGCATTACAGCAGAAAGCCCACTTTTCACTAGCAAATGAATGAGAACGTGTGGAGGCTTTTTCAGTCCTCCACACGTGCATGAAAACACAGAAATCATAGATATCAAACTACTGTAAGCACGCTTGTGAGCTCGCTGGCATCTTTACATGACAGGCACAGCAGGGGCTCATCTTGAGGTACTTTGCATTAATATGCACACTGGTGCTGTTGCATTTATTTGTAGGTTGTCAAAGTTAATCAGCTCCAGACCATTTGGCTTCCTGAGAATGACTTATTAAAGTTGAGAGACTTTGAAAAAAGACAAAAAAGAAAAAGAGAGCCACGACCACATTCACAATTCAGTGACACAAAGAAACAACAGATGCAAGGGCTGGAGGTGGATAATAAGATTCAAGTGGAGGTGGACGACGTGGGAGAAGGGAACGCTCTGCGAGAGAACGATGATGTTAACGCTAATAATGCGTTTTTCACCAGGTTAAATGGTACCGAGCAGCACGGGGGGGTTTTATTTTATTTTATTTTTTTTACCAGAGATCAGGTCAGTGCTGCCTCTCTGCCTCTGGCATGCCCAGCTTACAAATCATGTGGAAATGTGGATGTGGGACTCGAGTCACTGTCAGTACACATGCCAGGATGATCCTGTGCAGCGGCTCCTGTTTGCATGTGTGTGCATGTGTGAGAGAGACAGACAGGAAAGGGGCTGCTGAGCGCAGTGTCACAGCCTTCTCTGGATGTAAAAGGGGCAGACGTGCACGGCAAAAGCCACAGATTAAGTTGCACATCATCTTGAAAGAAACACTAGCAAAAGTTGGAGAGATTCTTTTTAAAAGTCTGAGTCTCCGAGTTCATTGGCACAACACTTGTAGCCTGAAGACGTTCAACTACCCATTAAGCCGGGCGGTCGTTTCAGAATACAAGCTGCCTTTGTGAAGGAACCTTCCCTGCTTTGTTAAATTCTCATCTGGCTGCCCACATTGTTCTCTGTGACCCCATAAGATCTCCTTCCTGCAGAGTGAAGCCTTAGACCTGAGTTTGTTTGGTTTTTGTTTGTTTTTGCAGACACGGGGTATGCGAATGCAGTAAAACCACTAAAACACAATAATCTCGCACATACCCACTCTGAATGTCTGCCCATTGACTTCTGACATTGTTGCTCATGCTGGCTCAGTTTTTAAAATCATAGGGTTATGCATTGTTTACATACCTAGATAAGAGTGGAAATGTTATTTTGTTTGTGTGTGTGTGTGTGTGTGGGGGTTTGTTTGTTTTTTTACATTAAGGTAGCCCACATTTTGTTTCAATCCAAAATTCAATGTTTCAGCACTCTGAGAACACAAACAAGCACAAGCTGGGGAGGGAAATAAAGCTTTGAAACCCTCTAACAATACCTGCACTTCCATTCAGAAATGCACATTCCTTGGGAAACTGTCTAAAAGCGGCTACCGAACTGGGTAGAACTACAACCCAGCTGGGCATCTCACAAAGGCTCTGTTGTTGTGGTTGGTGAAACATCAGCACAAGGAACTGGAGTTACAGAGCAACTCCAACACTTTATTATTATTATCATTATTTTAAATGAGGATAAAAATAACACAGTTTAATTTAACAAAAACCGTGAAGCTGTTGTTGTGCGGGAAAATCTCTTAGATGTCAACAAATCAGTCCTCTTACCTCTACACTGAACGACTGCTCCTCTCCGTTCACGGCACATAAAATCCACAGCAACAACTGCAAGCATAACGTCCCCATACAGCAGCTATTAAGACATCTCCTACTGCGGAGCGCCAATAAAACCATAGTGACACCCGCTGTTGGAGCTTATTGTCTGCGCTCAGTTTTATTTACAGGCGACACAGAGAAATGGGCAGCGGGAATAAATCCTACACATTTGGCAGCAACATCGCTGATGTCTCGCTGTCTCTCTTGCGGTGCCGAAAGCAGAGGACGGGGGAGAGAAATGGGCGAAGGAGCGGATTCGTCGAGCCCTTGCACCCGCTGCTTTCGCCGCGGTTTCGGGAGGAGGTTATCCCCGGGGAAAGAATCGCTGTTAACGCCTCTCAGGCGCCTCCTGGTCCCACAGTCCCCGGGTCAGTCCTCCGGTACACCGGCCGTTGTTCCAAGCGGACGCGTCCAGCCCGTTTTCTGCACCGCGCGGCATAGCTGCCCGTTTTCAATCGTGTTTCCCACCGAATGCGCATGTGCACACTGGCACGAGCGCCCCCTCCCATCCCCATCCTCATCAAAATCCCAGATAAAAACATAACAGTCCTCATCCTGCCAGTGCAGTTTGACACAAACGTAAGAAGCGCTATTTTCCCACTCAGCATATTCTGCTATTGTTCTTCTCTTTGGGTAAATAAACACGCAGGCTTCCGTATTTGGCTCCATGGCATTTTTCACATGGCAACAAGCAGGGACAGCTTATTATTGTGCTAATATAACCAACTTTATTTCATAACTTGAGACGAGTAGAAAATTGTGACTGTTCATAAATGCCCCATAAGCTTTTATGATGTAAATATTAAACTGAGTAGCATAAAAATGCAAGTTAAATATATTTTAAAAATAATAAAATGTTTACATGGTTTTTATATCGTTTTTAATACCTTCTCCCTATACTGCTATGTATATTTAGATTTACATTCTTATTTTTATGATTTCTATCAGCCACAGCCAACCTACATGTAATGTGCTCCTGTGCCCATGCATATGGGATTTCTGTATCCATGTTTTAAACCCTCCTTTGCCAATAGAGGGCGATGACAGGCTCAGTGTTCAACCACCACCCTCAGTGTGGGTGTATAATCCTACTCCGATATCTCCTGTGTGTCAACTTGGCTTCCAGTATAAGGTAATGATGCCATCAGGAGTGTTGTCACCGTAGAGAAAGTGATGTGTTCACGGTTTAAGAGCGCTCCTTTTACAAAGAAACCTTTCATCAAAGTCTCATCTTTGCATTAATAAAAGACTGTGACAAATCTGTGTCATTTATTATTGGTAAACAGAGTTATATTGCTTTTGCAATGGCACTTGGGTCCTCACTAATACACAAAAAGTGCCACATTAAAGAGCCTCTGTTTAATCTCCTCGTATAATAAAGAAGGGGCAGGCATAATGACCCAGGTCAATGATTTTCTACTTAAACTAACACCAGGGGACGAGGAACAAGCAGCATGTGTGCCACAGCAAAAGGTAGGTGAGCCACACTATTAGGCTATTAATGAGAGTTGACTTTGCACACACACTCCAGCTTCATCCTGGGACAAATTCTCACACTAAATGGATAAAACTCCATTTAAAGTTTTGAAAAACACTAGGAGCGTCAGAACAGGCACAGTTTGGCTTGAACCCCGTGTGATCCACGTGAGTTCTGCAGGGCATCATGTCACGCTAACTCTTAAAAAAAACATCATCTTGCTTATTACACTTCATGGAGGAAGTATTAATTATAGTTTGCAGATGTAAGTTTATTGTATCTGGACAGGAAATGACAAACACTTTGGAGCACTGTGTCAGCTCATAGGAAAGGGTAAAATTTATTGTGTGTCTAACAAGGTGAAGCTCGGACTCATGAATTATTGATTCTTCTTTTGCACAGCTCTGTTCTGAAGTGGTTAGGATGCCTCGTCAGTGATGAGAATGTAGACACCCAGTAGAGTATTTTAAAATTAATGTGACAAGCTTTAATTTGCAAACTTTAGAGATGACGATTATTAATTTACAGACAGACGTCTTGTTTAATAACTTGTAGAAACATCATGAAAGCATGCATGTATATTATGAAATTTTTAAAAAAAAGCAGCTTCCTGGAAAGCAGTGAAATTACCAGGTAAAGATCAAATTAGATGCACAGTTATGGTAGATGCCTAATGTGACTCACAAATTCCAGAAAGAATTAGCTAGTGGCAATAAAAAAGAGAATGTTAAAAAAAAAAGACGAGCTGACTCAGAGTACTTAAAGTCTCTACAGGTCGCATAAAATCATAAAAAGTATAGCTCCAATTTAGATAAAGATAACATAATGTATTTATGTAATCATAATTATGTAGAGCACATTTGGCCAGATGTCACAGTGTGATTACAAAGCATAAAATGGAATAAAAATCAATCCAGAGATGAAAAAATATGCATTGAAAAACACTTAAATGTAACATTTTATTTCAAAACAGTACACAAAGTACATGAATACATGGAAAAAAAAACCAAAAAAACCAAATCTGCCACACGTGTCTAAACATCCATCCATCCCTTTTCTTCCATTTATCCAATTCAGTGTGATGAGGGGACTGGAGTGTAGCCCAGTTGTCACAGGGTGAGAGGCGGGTTACAAAGTGGATAGGTCGCTAATCTGTCACAGGACTAACACAGAGAGACAAACAACCATTCAGGGCCAATTTAGAATCAGCAGTTAACCTAACCCCACTTAATTCATGTGTTTGGACTGTGGAAGGACACCAGAACGCCACACAAAAGACAGAGTGGATTCTAACCCAGAACCTTCTCGCTTTAAGGCAGTACTAACAGTATCAACCACTATGCCACCAGGCTGTCCCATGTCTAAACAGATATGTTTTTATCTTCCATTTAAAAGAATCCATGAAACCAAGTCTTTTAGCAGGTGTGTGGGACAAATAGCAAATTTAGCATATTTGTCTGAGGGTAAAAGACAATACTACAATGCTCTGTGTGCATGAATAAAAATATTAAACTGGATCCTGAACGTGAGGAAGTATTTAAAATAACCCACAAGACTGCCTAAGAGAGTAAAAGCATACTACGATTGTTGATAAACAACAATATGAAGGCATACACGAGCATATTTAGCTGCACATTTAAAGCTCTAGTCTCAGTTTTCTGAGGTTTGTTATGTTCATCTAAACCTCCGTCTTTTCAGCAGTAGGCCATAAAAAACGGTAAATCATAAAATTAAGGCATTCTAGAAGCCAAGATAGGAGATAAGCTGCAATGACTTTGATGAAAAATAAAGCTAAATATCTATCTAAATTTTTGATAATGAGTACTTCAAAGGCAACAGAAAAAGGCCACCTAGGCAGCTTGCAGTTATTGAGTCAGCCATGAACTCCTCAGACAGCCCGTTCACACTCCAGAGGCTCCTCTGTTCACCACAGTATTATAAAGCCGAATGTAGAGCCAACATCCTAGCTAAATCTGACAGTTAAAGCTTTGTCCAAACTTGAAGGTGCAACTGGAAAATGATCATCAGCAAAGATAAAACAGAATTACTCAAAAAAAAGGATGAAGTTGTTGCAAAGGCCCAGTCAAAATCCAGACCTCATTCTGACTTAAATGCTGTGGAAGGACCTTGTTAGAACTGTGCAAAAATAATGTCCTGCAAACCAAAGCAAAGCTGTAGAGTGGGCTAAAAATGAATCCACAACAATGTTAGAAACCTTAGAACTGACAGAAGATGTGCCTTCTTTTTATCATGACAGTATACAGGACAGCAAAGGCCCAAGAACTGAGCCTTGTTGGACACCACAGGACAGCGGAGAGGAATCTGATGAAAACCCTACAGAACAAAAGAAGAAACCTCAGTCAATGAAATTAATTAAGGTGATGATCTATCTTGCAAACCCTCAGAAGACGACCTCCCAAACTCTGACTTAAACGTGTCGTCATTTTATTCCTTCCCATATTCTTTTTCTTTTTTTCAGTATGTTGTTTGGTAAAAACCTCTCTAGAATAAGATCACAGCACACCCTGGCATCACCAAAACCATAGTTACTACTATAGTATAGGTATAGTTATAGTTATAGTATAATATGGTATTGCATTCAGTGGGCTAGAGGTTAACTTCATTTTACTTCATTTAGTAATGAAGGCAGTAATCACTGCCTCTGACAGAAAAATAAAGTAAAGAAGAAAGAGGTGTTAAAATGCAGTTGTTGATAATAACAAAGGCGTTCTTGGGATTCATTTTTGAGGAAGAGATTATGTCTGCAAAGTAACCAGTCGAGGCTTCTTTTACATGTTTTTCCTAGAATATATTGACTCTATGTTCCACAACTCAAAACCACTCGTGTAATCAGTGAAGACGTGTAATTTTTATTGCATGTGATAGCCGATGCTGAATAAACTGCACAAGCACAACCCTGCTGAACTGCTCTGTCACTCATTCTTTGTGGGAGTTAAATAACTTCCTGTATTCATGCTCACTTTGTAACGATGCAAATTTACAATGATTTTTACCATGTTAAAAACATGAAGTCTTTTCTTTGTCCTCCTTGTGCTCATCTAGAAGTTTGTTGGATGGTTGAAATCATTCGCTCATCCACACTTCCTCTCTCTTTTGGCTAACTCTTTCGCACTCACGTCTCTCTTCCTCTCCACTCCTTAATGACTTCCTCTCTCACTCAATAATCCTGAATACCCTATTTGAAAGGTTCTGGCCCTTTCCAACTGGTCCTCCCACCAGCGCAAAGCCCTGCCAGGCTCCTCAAAGCCTCCCTATGCAAACACGACTATGTCTCATAACTGCTGCATCTGCTCCCAGTCAGACCTCCTGGATCTCCTGGCAGCATGAATTTAAAGCTGCCCGTCTGTCTCCCTTTTTCAAGGAACAAAATAACAATAATAATAATTTTTAAAGAGATATGATGAAGAGAGAGCAGTAGTTGGTAATTAAAGAGTTTCTAATCTCCTTTGGGGATAAGTAATCCCATTACACTTCCACATTGGATAATTGGCCAAGACGTTAAATAGACCACAGTTCATCAGCAAAATGTAATTTGAAACAGGTATTTCCCTCACTTTGTTGGGATTCATGACATGTTTAATTTGTGATGTGCTTCCTGATGTTGGGTGGGATCACACTGGCTCCTATCCCCTCTCCAGATGAAACTCTGGGTCAGCCTAGCACAGCGTGGACTCGACTCTTCAACAAGTTCTCAAATTGATTACTATGTTATCATATGGTACTGAAGCCAAGTAGAAGGAAAACTTCTCCAGTGAGAAATAACTCATGTGTTCCAACAACAGTCTATTTCACAGTTGGACCAATTTACTAGTGTCTGAACCCAGAATCATTTTGGGGTGTTTCTCACAGTTACTTTTCTTTTGAATGAAAACTGATCTGACTCATAAACAAATGTCAGCATTACTTCATTTAATCTTAGAGTATCTCATGCATCTCACATTACAACCATAAAATACAGCTGCTGTTTTTGTCTAAGCTGCTGTGTTGCCTTA